CCCCAAAACCCCAAAACCCCAAAACCCCAAAACCCCAAAGGGTCAACCTTAAATTGAAAACGATATTTTACCCTAAAATGGAAACACTCAATTTTTTATAAAGAGACTGAAACAATGTATCAATTTTTAAGGATTGGCTTTATATCTCACAAGTCTTATCTCTCTAAGCGAAGCAGTCTGATCTAGAAGAGAATAGAGTGTTAAAATATTCTACTAGGGAAATTTTTTCGAAATTCTTAAAATTATGGTTTACTCTAAAACTTCTCTAAGTCCATAAAATGCAGAACTATGCATTATGGCTATGGTTGTTAGTCGACTTCTCCCTCAACCTAGTTAAAAATGCTAAAGTTTTATTTTTGGGTGAGATATTTACTCATTTAAAAATAAGGTTCATGAATCAACATAATTTTATACAGCATTATTTTACTTCGGAGTGAAAGCATCAAGGAAATTTCCATGCTGTGTATCCTTCATTCTTGGAAATCAGAACCCTATAATTAATTTTAGAGACAGAGTTGATGAGTAAATAGGCAAGCGACTGCTAAACTTTAGAACAGTACGAAAATAGCCTCTAAGTCTTGAGTAGATAGTGTTAAATTGGGAGGAAAAGAAACCATGAATGATTTCCCAATGCTGGAAAGATTTAGAATCCCAATGCAGAGTTTTCCTTTGAAATATAATGATTAATAAATACGGAAAAGATTCTAAAAATTTGTCTTTAACTAGGAATAAAACTCGGATGTGGATCAAATTCTCTTTTAAGGGTTTAAAACTTTGGTGGGATTCCATAAAGTGTCTGAGAAAATTCTCAAGAAAGATTACAAAATAGAGATGGTTTTTGCCTTGGAAAATTCCTGAATCTCAAAAGTGCAGCCTCATGTTTAATGGACAATTCCTTTAAGTCATTTAAGCTCAAAAGTGTTTTATTGCCATCATTTAAAGACAGGCATTGACATTTTTGGTAGTCTTGATACAAAATTTTCGATGTTGTTGATTATTTTCAATGGCGTACATTAACAAGGAGTTTTAGGAAAACCAAAAATCAAAAGATTTATATAAAACAGATATGATCCTTACCTTCAGATGAATTTAAAGTGTCTTTTTTGAGGAACCTGCTAAGGATATTAGGAGAGCCATCATCTTGATTCATTGATCTGTAAACCTCAAACTTCTGACATGTAGGATTCAATGGAACAAATTCAGATTTTCTCTTGTTAATATCCTGTAATTGATCTTGATGAGGCTCCGACATAGAGATATGGCTATATCTAGTATTCTGGGACATATTCTGCTTAGAAGGGGAGAGAATCGAACCTAGAGCTATTAAAATTCTTAAAAAACCTCCGAATATCTTAGATATCCTGATGTTATATTTCTTCTTAGATTTCTCTTGCTTCATAAACTTTGAGAACTTATCTTTTAGGTTAAGTTTTAACTTTCTATATCCATTGTTATGGTCATAAGCCATTGGGTCAACCAAAGAAATATCTAGATGTATCAGAAAATAATGTTTGTTTCTTATAAAGTTTTATTGTGGTAAACCAGTTTTGAAATTTTCAAAAAACATACCTTTTGGAAAATTTTGAAGAAGGAGTACCTCTCTTTGAATTCTTTTTAGAGGATGATCTGAAGGAGCTACTTTCATTTCGAATAATATTCCTGATAAGCTTTGCTGCAGGGCTGAAAGCTCTATAATTTAGATTTTAGAGTACTTACCGTTGGTTCATTTTGCCCGACATCAAGCGAAATTTTGCTATATTTCTACTACTCTTGTCTCTCCGATTATTTTTACGAGCAACTGTGTTTAAGATCCTTTGCATCGGAGATAAACTCTTTATTCTCTGAAATCTTTCCTTCATGAGGCTAAATAATTTACACCTAAATTCTACTTTCTGGGATCAGTTGTAGGCTTCTTAGCAACTCTCCTAACTTTTTCGTTCTATATAGAAATGATTCCATTTCCAGAACATAAAATGCATATTTCTACTGTTTACTGAGTACCAGAGATTTTAAAAGACTTCAAGAAAATGTTGAAGAGGAGAGCAGGAAGGATGGTACAAATAATTACTCTAGTCTCTCCATCTCATGGAGTTATTTCACAAAGGATTAGCTGTCAATTAAGATGGTGGACTCTGGACAAAAATTCATAATTATACTTACCTTGTTTAAAAATCTACTCTTTTTGGGTTTACTCTTTGGGCTGAACAAAGAATAGTTAAGCGTCTTTGTACTCATCTATAATAAACAGTTTATAGCTTCAATAGGCATAAAAACTTGTGTATAGGGATTTTGGTTCCACTTTATAGTCCTTCTTTTGATTAAAATTTTACCAAAATAATGATTAAGGACTTAATTAAATTCATAATCTCTGGAAGTCTCCGAAATATCCAATGCTAAGTGAGTGCTCAACAAAGTTGATGATTCATTTAGCGCTTACAATGTTTTTGTGTATAACCTATCATTCTCACTTAGAAGTAAAGACTGTAAAATATGTGGTTTTCCTAACCTGAGCTGTACCTAAATTTCCAACTATCAACCATCAAAATTTCTAGCTCCTTGGTGAAATGAACTGTATGAGCTCATTTATCTTTTAGGCAAGAAAATGGAGCTCGAACTTATGCTTAAGTTGGCATAATTATTACCTGAATAAAATTTACCAGAAGCAAGTAATAATGATAGAAGTTATTATATAAGCTACATTAGGAGAGATATATAGTGAAGGTAATTTTTGAATCCATTACCTAATTTTTCATCGTGTTGTCTGAGATTTTAACCCAGTTGTGAGGCTAAGAAGCATGTATTAAGAACCTAACAAACAAAAAGACTCTTCTTACTTTGTAATGAGTCATTATGAAGGGTATCTTACTAAGCTAACGATGTTTAAATTAAATTTTGACACCAGATATAAAGGCCACCACAATATGTAAGTTATAAAAAATTTGCATCATTTTGATCGATATGTTATTGCGGTCAGAAAATGTTGACTTACTCGACTAAGAAGATAGTGAGGAGTGTGAAGGGATGACTAGCAATTGCTAGGCTGAAGAGCAAGCCAGAGATGATCGCCATCACTTAGGAGAGAAGGATAATTAGAGAAATTACCTGATGAAACAACAAACTTACTCTTTAAGATGAGTAGTATATAGTAAGTTCTTTAGCTACATAAGAAATAAACCTGATAAAAGATAAAACATATCAAGCTAATATCACATTCTTTGAAAAATTCAAAAAATTTATGTGAAAATAGTAATGTATAATCATCGAGCCCTAAATCTTGCAAGATCAACAAGAATAGTCCTCATAACTAATGATAGAAATTTCTGCTTTCACTTATCTCCCTTACCTTATTTTTTGAATGATTTCTAACATCACCTCCATCCATTTTACTTCCGTAATTGCTCATTTATTATTCTCTTCAACCTATTATTATATATATGGGGTTTTGGGGTTTTGGGGTTTTGGGG